AAGAAATAAACCTTCCACGTATCCTTTCTCAGAAGACTACTGAAGGATGTACATAACCAAAACAAGGAGGAAATTCCAATAGCAAAAACAAAGCATTTAAGACACTCCTGAAGTAGTCTGAGCTCCTAACATTCTAGAGACAAAAATTATGATTCATTATTGACAGATATTTTTTAAAAGATCTAGAAATAAACCAGATGCATAGATGGAAAGACTTAAGTATTATGGAGATGTTATTTTTTACAAAGTTAATCTATAAATTCCATAAAATTCCTTCAAAAAAGCACAACAGGTTTTCTGTGTAACTCGTGCATGCCTGTGTGCAGGCTCTGTCACTTAGTCATGTCTGACTCTTTGCGACCCCACAGACTGTAGCTCATCAGACTCCTCTGTCCACAGGATTTCCCAGGCAAGAATACTGGAGTGGGTTGCCATTTCCTTCTCCATGGGATCTTCCCGACCCAGGGATCAAACTCACATCTCCTGTGTCTCCTGCATTGGCAGGAGGATTCTTTACCACTGAGCCACATGGGAAGCCCTTTGTGTAATTCAGTCAGGCTAATTCTAAAATGTACATGAAAGCCCTAATAGCCAAGAATATACCAGACATTGCTGAAGAAGAAGAAAAGGAAGTCTTTCTCTAGCAGAGATTTGTTTGGATGCTTTCCTAATTAAGAGTGGAAGACTGATAAAGGAATGAACAGATCAATGAAGAGACTAGAAATCCCAGAAACAGACACGTGCTGCAGGGCAGTGAGGAACAGTCTCCCCCAGTGATGACCCATGGGACAACTGTGTGCCCACTGTAGAAAACAATGAAATTGGACCCCCTACCTCATACTATTTGCAAAAATCTTCACTAAGTGGGTTGTAGACACAAATGTTAAAGGCAAAATCATAAAAGCGCTTAGAAGATAAGATAGTGGTTTATCTCCATGATCTAAGGTTAGGAAAACTTTTCTCGCCTTTTTTTAAATTCAAAAATCAAATTGGTTTTATTAGGTGATTCATGAATCAGGCAGCATCCCATCCAACAACTGGAAGGGCCCCCAGGAAAGAATTTCTCAAATACAATACAGAAAGCATTAACTGAAAAAGAAAAAAATAGACAAAACTGATGTTAAAATCAAAAATTTCTTGTTCATAAAAAGATACCATAAAGAAAATGAAAAGATGGGCACAGAAGAAGAATGTACTTGCAATAGCCATAACTAGCAAATGGTTAAAATCCAGAATACACAACAAATAAACAAGAAAGAGACATCCAAGAGGAAAATGAACAAGACACTGAACACAAAAGAAGAAATCCATACTAACAATCCTATGAAAAGAAACACTTAAAAGTAGTCAGAGAAAAGATGAATTAAAACCACAATGAAAAATAAAACATCAGATTGTCAAAACTTAAAAATTTCAACAATATCAAACAGTGGAGAGAATGCAGAGTAAGTAAAATTCTCATAGGATGCTGGTGGGAGTGTAAACTGCTATAGTCTAGTAAAATTAAAGATACACTACCCTATAACCTAGCAAATTCTACTTCTAAGTTAAGTCTTAGTGAAACTCATGCATACATGCACCAGTATAAAAGCCAAAAACTGAAAACAACTGATATATCCAACAGAGCAATGGTAAATAACCGGCAATATAATCATATATTGGGATTCTATGCAACAATTAAAATTAACTGCAGCTCTAGAGATAACAAAGACAAATCTCACAAACCTAAAGCTGATTTTCAAAGAGGTAAGACACAAAATACACTCAGCACACACAAAACTAAAGTTATGATGCTTAGTTATACACTGCTAGATAGTAAACTATAGGGAAAGCAAAGAAATGAATAACTTACAGACAGGATAGTGGTTTCCTTTAGTGGGAGAGCAGAATAAATTCAGAAAGGAGGTGAAAAGGATTCTGGAATACTGGCAGAATTCCTTTACTCTGATGGTTGTTAATACCGAGTTCACTTTATTACTGTTCGCTAAATGTACATATATGTGTTGTATGTTTCAATATAATGATTATATGTTTCACTATTTTTTAAAAAGGCGCATGCCCATCAGGGTCATAAAATGAATCACTTTTCATCCAGCACAAGTCAGTAGCCCAGCTTCAATTCAACGGATCATTTTATGGCATTCCTTCTTTTTTTCTGTTAAAAGCAACAGAAATCCAAACATAAAAAATGTGAGGGATATTACATATCTTCATTTATATGTCAAATAACACTATTAAAAAAGGAGAAAATAAATTTAAAATTGGGAAGATATTTCAAGCAAGAAAGTAACTGTTACAGAGCTGTGTAGTGCAAGACTAAGTGGAAAGAATACAGCTATATGATGAAAAAACTGTTTCAAACAAACTAAATACACAAGACAATTGCCTATTTAGAAATTAATCTTTGTAAACAGTTATAATCAAATGATAGTTGGAATCAACTTCAGAAACAGCTTTATAGTGCACACTATACATACTATTGTAAGGTTTGATTGCTTTTTCTCCTACACAGAAAGAAGTTTATAAATTTAAATTTCCTAGGGAATCTTGGACAGTAAAAGAGGTTAGGAAAAAGACATAACAGGTGAGATAAGTTTAAATTTTTAAATTTTGTTTTAAAAAGCTCACAGCTTACTCCTTGGAAGTATAAAATAGTGAGACAAAAAGAAAAGATGCAAAGAACTCCCATTCTTCAAATATCACACTAAAATATACACCAAACCCACAAAAAGTATCCTTGACACAGTCTTACAGTGTTAAACTACATGGTGCAAGGCTCTTATTTTTCAGAAAATTTTCAATAGGTATCTCACTATAGGAAGACATATTCACTTTGCAGGTGAATGAAAGAATTAAATCAAAGTATTAGCATGTCAAGATAATCTGCCTGTGCCAGAAAATGGTTTTACTATCTTCCTAGGTCCCTTTTCCTGTCCCATCCCATATTTCGTTTTCAAGCTCTAAATATAATGACAGTAATTTTCTGCCATTTCCTGAGCCCTTTTTTGTGTCTTACATTTATTATCTCCTTTAATTCTCACATACTGAGGAGTAGGTTTTACTGATGAGAAAAATGAGACATGGAATGATTAAGTAACTTACCCAACGTCAGAGGTTGCTACTGAGGGAGCCAAGATACAGTCCTACTCCAGAGCCAGTGTCTTAATACTACACTGTTTCTATTCAATAAAACATTTATACCATGAAAACTGCCCATAATCACCTACTGCCTTCTAACTACCAGATCCCAGATGCCTTGAGGATTTATTACTGCCGCCTTTCCTAGATAACTGCATACTCACACAACATTAATGGGTAAAGGAATCTAAACATTTAGGAAATCTATGATTTTCCAGCTATGAAAAAGGAGGTCCAGAGACATTAAGTGTCCTGTCCACGACCTCAAAGCTCATTTGTGACAACCAGCAATAAAGCACAATTCTTAACTCCCAGAAGGATCTCCCCACTGCACTAAAAGCCCTGTCTACCACACATCTATACTGTAAGCTCTTGTTGAAATCCATACCCTCCACATTAGGCACTGAAGTTTACTCTGTCAACTTTCACAGCACACAAGAGCATCAACAGCACTCACAAGCAGGTAACACACATTCTTTCATTTCAACAAATATAGAGAGAAATGCACTATGTGTGAAGGCAATAGAATTAACCCAAATGTTTATCATAATTTGGCCCCTGGTCTTATCTTAATAACATAAACACATTAACCCGTGACAAGTGCCATAGCAGCAATGTGAACAATGTGTTTTGAAAGCAGACAGAAAAGAGTGGATATTTCACACTAAGAAGGCGGGGCTCTGAGATGTGTTAGAGCCAATGCAAAGGCAGGGTGGGATGGTGCTTAGAAAGAAGGAAAAATGCTATCACTTCTACCACCAGATGTTTAAGTTAAAAAAAAAAAAGCAGTAATCATAAACACAGGGTCAGAAGGGTTGAGTTCAAATCTAGGCTGTGACTGGTGTGAATGGGAACAATTTCTGGGTCTCAGCATCCTCATCTATGAAATGGAGATACTACTGACCTGCATGTCTCCCAAGACTTTTGTGGGGGCCAAATTACGTGTAAGTTAAACATAGGTTATTTATATTTCACACCTAGGCAACCCTGTGGGTCCTTCCCCTTAAAAACTGTCTCATAAAACCTCACCCTTCAGATGAAAATATCCCAATGACATCATTCGTATACTCCTTACAGGATAGTAAACATTTAACACAAATGCCCTCAGACTGAAACAGCAAACCTCCTTCTACTGAAATAAATATCTGGGTATAAAAAATATTTGTGTGTGTGTATATATATATATATGGGGGGGTATGTGTTTTTTAATTTCTTGGGCCCTGGAATGGATTTCTAGTCGATGCTTTTATATTTAGAAACTAGTATCAGATGCAGGTTTCCTTCTGGAAATTTTCTATCAGAAATTACATTCCATTTTACACTATGCTGTCAAGCGACCAACTCAAGAATAGTCTGCAAGGAGCAATCGCTTTGCTCTTATCCCAAGAGACTGGTTATGTATAAGCTATAGATACAACCAAATACATACCCTGGACCCCAAAAGGGTACTATTTTAGTGTAAGCATATATATGAATGCAAACAGCTTAACAGAAAAATAGAAATCCACTTTAAAGTATAATGAGTTTCTGATTTGAAAACACTTAAGGGCCAAACCAGACCCCTCCTTTTAATGAAAGAACACCCTCACTTCCTTTAACGCTGAACAGAGTAGGCTGTATCCCTTGCCTCCCTCTGGCAACCATTCTTTAAACTACATCCAGGCCCTATTTTGTTCAACCTTAAACCCTAAGTCTTAGCTACTCCTCGGATGGGAACCTAAATAAAGTTTCAACGTACGTTTAGGAGGTCAAAAGAAGGTCCCAAAGACAGGAACGGGACGCGGGAGCGAGAAATCCTCGTGCCACTCCCGGCCGCTGGCTATTTGATCTCTCAAGTGTAACTTCCCTTTTCTCCCCCTTACCTTGTACACTTTGCCAAAGGCTCCGTCGCCCAATTCTCCTATAATTTCCCAAAACTCCTCCGGGTTCAGATCCCTCTTCACATGTTCGTACTGCTTTTTCTTCTTATCGCTCCCCAACTTGAAGATCTTACGGAAATTGAAGAAGGACATTTTTCCTCCCCGACAGAGTTCCTCACACTTAAGGATGAAAAACAATAAGAGGCAAAGTTTCTCCTCCCTCTTCTCCCGCGCGGGCCCGGGCGGCGGCGGCGGGCGCGGACAGTTCGGGCTCCCGCCGCTCCGGCCAGGCGGTCCCGGGGGAAGGCGGGGCGCGACTCCCCCTCCGGCCCACGGGGTGGGGGCGCTGCGCGGGCGGCCCCTCCGCCGAGTCCGGCCCGCGCTCTGCACGGCTAAACGCCTGGCCCCCGGCCGGCCCTCGTGGGGCGGCACCTGCCCCGGCGCTCGTCCCCACCCGGCCCGGCCCGACGGGTCCGAGCGGTCCGGACGCCAGCGGCCGCGGCGGTTAGGCCCTTGTCAAAGCGAGTCTCCAGGGGCGGCGGCTACTCCGGGCTAGGGACGCAGCTGGCGGCTCTGAGGAGGGCAGTCGGCTGGCCGAGCTCTCCCGCCCCGGGCCGGAAACCCCGGGTCTCCTCTGCAGCAGTCCGCTCCCGCGGCTCGAGGCCCGCGCGTCCCCTGGGCTCTGGGGCGCAGCCGCCGCCGCCGCTGCCGCCTCGCTCCCTCCCGAGCCCACGCAGCCTCTGCCTGGAGCGCGCGCCGACGCCGACGCCGCAGCGCGCCCGCCAGCTCCCCCGGCCGCGCGCTCGGCTCTCCGCGCGCTCGCGCGGGGGTGGCACCTCTGGCCCCGCGCACGCGCGTTGAGTCCCGCAAGCTGGCGGCCCAAAGTGGCTTGCGGGCGCCCGCGCCGGGTGCGCTGTGGATCATAGAGCGGGTAGCCGGTTGATGGTTCCCCGGGGTTTGCCCTCCAAGCAAACCTTGTTAGTCCACGGCTTTGACGGAGTTGTCCTTTGCGCACTACCCTCTTGGTTGTGCTAGCGGATGTTGCCTCCATTCTGGATCTGGGAAAATGTGTAGAGTGAATGCTGAGCTGCCCCGATCTGAACTTCTTCGCTCTCTAACGAGCCCCAGAACAGAGTGGGAGGGAAGAATATGCGATGGCTGTTTGCTTTGGGTCCAGAATTTATCAGCCCTCTGACCTTGGGCGGGTAACCTCTCCGAAGCTCAGTTTCTTCATGATGAAGTCAAGGTCCTAAAGTCCCGATCTGGGGATTGTGGCGAGGAGTAAAGGCAATGGAAAAAATCCCTGTGCACTGTGCCTGCGCTGGCAAATGCTCGATTTCAGTTCCAGCTGTTGTTAAAAATGTGTACGTAAAATAGACATAAATATATAAAAGTTAAGCCCACTTCTTGAGTGATGACTAGGAAATTCTTTTGAGGGTAATCTGTCTTCTTCTGGGCACTTCCGTAGCCATCATCCTGGCGTCAACCTTCATGACTCCATCTGAACCGCTAAGGCCTTCACTTCCTGACCTGTCTCCCGCCCCCTTGTACAGCACTAGTGGAAGACTACCTACTGTGGGAGCTGGCTGGGATCTATCAGATGGTGCCTTCCCGTCCTCAAAAGAGAGCACTTTCAAGGCAGTCGCTGATTAGTCATCATGATATCCAGGTACTACAACAACATTCCTGGCATTTGATAGGTAAGCCGATCTCTTGAATGAATGAATGTTATCTGGAGCAGAAGACATATTGCTATGTAACCCTACCAAATCATTTTGCCCTCCAGTCCCAAAGTGACATAACAAAACCCGGCTTCTAGTAAGAGGGATGTGGTGATTTTGTTTCTCAAGACTGTAAGTTTTGATAGTCTTATAACCTATAATGGAAAAGAATAAAAATGAACATGTATATATAATATATATATGTATACCTGAATCACTTCACTGTACACCTGAAAATAACATTGTAAATAAACTCTATTTTAATAAAAATTGAAACTAAAAAATAAGTTGTTACAAGGAATAAATACAATTAAACTATATACTTTTGTGTTTTGACAAGCATAAACACCTGTGAAAACAATGCCATAGTTGCTCTATTTTCAATTGCTATCATTTATGTAGGTGGCTTACATGAAAAGATAATATGTGCTCATTGTGGGAAATGAAGAAATGCACAAAAAATTAAAAAGTGTTATAGTTCTACCATTTAGAGATAACCATTGGCAAGACTTCATCATATTTCCAAACAGAACTTTCTGGCTGTACATAATTTTTTTTTTACATGGATAAAATTATACTGCCTATAAAGATTTGAAACTTGGGCTTTTCATATTTAAGTGATTAGTGTTTTCTTCCATCATGAGATATTTAATAGATTACTTAACAACTTTTCTCTGTTCTGGATAAAACATTGATAAATATCTTTGTTCACAGATCCTTTTCCACATGTTTGATTATTTCCTTAGGATAAATTACAAGAAGTAGATTTGGGTCCAAGGATATGTCTTTCCTTTTTTTGTTCTTTTCAAAATACAAAACCTTTACCATTTTCTCAATTAAAAGCATATTCTTGTTGTAAAATAATTCAAATGATGCAGAAATGTTAAACTAGGAAGCTGTCTATAATTCTCCCCTCTTGCCTTCACCCTACTTGACTTCACCCCCAACCTAACCAAGGTAAGAGTTAAAACCTTATGAGCAGGAGGGAAATTTGAGTGGTAATAAAAAGTTCTAAAACTTGATTGTGGTAATGATTGCAAAACTATAGGTATTTACCAAGAATCACTGGATTGTAGACTTACAGTGGGTGAATTTCGGGCTTCCCTGGTGGTTCAGATGGTAAAGAATCTGGCTACAATCCAGGAGAACTAAGTTTGATACCTGGGTTGGGAAGATCCCCTGGAGAAAGGAATTATACCAAAATAAAACTACTTTTAAAAAGTTATGGATGTATGACCAAAAAAAATATGACCAAATTATTTTCTGTGCATATGACTTTTAATATAAAATGACATCTGATATGGATCATGGACATCTTTCTATGCCAGCACAAATAGATCCATCTAATCCTTTTTAATAGGGGCATAGAGTCCCAGTATATATAGCTCTACCATCATTTATTTAAGCATTTCTCCACTGGCAGGCATTTAGGTGGTTTCCAGTTTTTTTGTCATTATAAGCAATGCTGCAGTGAGCACGCATATACAAGCATCTTTGTGTATTTGTCTGATTACATTTCTTTAAGATAAAGTTCAAGAAGTGGAACTGCCGACTCAAAGAACATAAAGTGCTCTTATCTGTTGCCAAATTGGCCTCCAGAACGACCGTAGACTGCTGCTCTCTGTTCCTACTAACAATCTATGTATGAGAATGTCAGTTTCACCAGACTTTCAATAGCACCAATCCGTCTTTTTAATCTTTGCCTAGATAGTCCAAAATTATCTCTTATTGACATTTCTCTGGTTATTGGTGATGTAACCTTTTGAGGTGTATACTGGCCACTTTTACCTCATATTTTATAAATTGCTTCATCATATCAATGAATAATATCAAATGACATTGTCATTATTGTATAAATGAGATGATCAAGAACCTCACTAATATACTTTGGTGAAATGATCATGGAGAGTTAATAATAGCTTTTATAGCTTTTCCATGAAGCTACACCCACAGAAATTATTTAATAATGCCAAGTGAGACGATATTTAGACAGATTCCAATTTTCCCAGTAATGACCATAATATCTAGATGTTTGTGTTATCTGTAAAAAAACAGTTTGGCTCCCTTGAATTTTTAATCCTTTAAAAATGAAGCTTAAACAGTGACCACGTGAAAAAAAATACATATATAATATTCATTTAATACCCAATGTTTTGTCACTAACACTCACTAACAGATCGGTAAGAGGAGAACTATCTTCATAATTTACCAGATCACTAATCTTCACTGATAACAGCAGGGATACCGTTGAAAATTAGAAACTGAATATATATGGAGTGCTTACTACATGCTGGGCACTGCGCTGTGTGGTTTACGTGCATCATAGGTTCTGTGATAGCTCCCATGTAAAAGTGAGGAAAACTGAGACAGCATTAAATATAAATAGCATGGTCATGGCCTCAAAGGTAGTAATGGAAGACTCGAAATTGAATGTAGAGCTCCGTAAACCAATTCCTTAGTGTTTAACAACTCCACTATGACTCTCTCCTCATCCTTACTGAGTTTCTGTAACAGCTGTCTCACAGGATTGTTGTCTCTGCTATTTCCTTCTCCTTCCCTTTGTAACTTGAAAACATCCTCTACTCATGGTCTCCACTTTGTGAGCTCCCAAACTCTCCATGTGTGTGTATAAATATTTTTACATATAAATGTGTATGAGTGTGTGAAAGTGTATGGGTGCTGGGTGTGTTTGTGTATGAGTGTGTGTATGTTATATGTGTATAGGGATGTGTGTGTTTGTATGTGTGAGCATGTAAGTATCTCAGTATGTATCTAAAGGTATGTGTATGTTTCTCCCTCTAGACTGAAAACACTTGGAGGGCAGGGACTGTGTCTTGCTCACCCTTACACCCCCTGCATCTAGCCCAATGTGTCTGTCATATTCCATATATTTTTGTTGAATAATCAATGAAAATAAAATAACTTTATACCTAGTGAAAGCAAACTACATGTCAATTCCTTTTCCCTTCCTTCTTTCTAACTTAAGTGGTAAATGTCCTAAGTTCTTTAAATATTGCTGTAGAGGTTACATGGAAGGAGCAAATGCCTTTCGTGTACAAGTACGCTGTGGTATAAATACATTTTTCTATCCTTGTGGAGTTACAGTTTAGGAAGGAATTTTTTCAGGTATTTTAAGAAAGCAAACTGCAGTTATGACAGTTATTCTCCTGAAATAGAATTTGTGTGTCATTCATGAAAAGCCAAACCAGATTTTTGGTCATTTTTCCCTGTTTTAAAACTATACAAATTACCTGATTTAAGCTATTTATTATTCAAAAAGAGAATCCAAAAATATCCTCCCTTCTCCTTCGTCTCCCTTTCTGCGTCATACAAAACTGTTACACTTACACTCCCACCCTTCCCTCATCCCTAGTCACTTCTGCTGAAATGAATCATAAGCATTTCACAGCATAACAAGTCTTAACATATTCA